AAGATTGCATTTGTGAAGATAAAATTTATCCTGGACTATTTACTGGAGATAAATACAGAAAAATAGGTGACTGGAAAAATGATCTTATTGACTGCTTCTTGAAATTCTAATTGCTAATTGGTGAAAATATCATTTGTAGAGTGAGACAATCACGCAACAGCTAAAATGTTCTCTTAAAATCAAACTACCTGCTTCATAGACCTGATGTTAGAACATGCCAAAAGCAGATAGGATTAATAGTGAAATATAGCTAGGAATAATAAACTATTTCTTAGAACCATGAAAGAATATCAAGTGTAGTATTCACTTTCTTGTTAGAGGAAAAGTCTGCATTAGTAACGAGAAGCAGTCTATTACATTTAAAAGGACTTCCATATGTATGTATGTATGTAGATTGGTTCTTCTTTCAAGGCCCTTGCCAAATAAATAAGACTAATAACTAGTAAAAAAGGCATTTATAATGCTGGCACTATAGTTACAGAATATTATCTCCAGAGAATCTAACCTTGTCAGTGCAAGCTGAAGATATTTTTCTTTTCTGGCTTTGTTATTTACTCAATTATAAATATAAATTTAATGTTTCTTCAATAACTGCTGTCCTCTCTATTGAATTTACTTTGCTTCTGTCTTAAGTTGTTGTACAGTCGTTCCACAATTTACTTTACTGGTCTCACCTTTTATGCCCTCATTTTTGTTTTGTAATACTTGAGAATACAGAACTAGTAATACAATTCCATGCATAAATAAGTTAAAAAACGATTAAGAGATAATTACTGTCATTTTCTCCATAGAATATCTTGAAAAGACTTCACAAGCTGCATCAACTTCATTTCCTATCATAGAGTAGATGGATTCATGTTCAGTTTTCAGACTTTGTAGTTGATCCTGAAGTTGAAGCCTTTCCTCATCCAACCTCTTTAGATGATCATCTTCATTATTTATTATTTTATTCTAAAGCAAACAATAACAGAGTAGAAGCAATAAGTTTATTTATCATGTATTTATAACTAAGTGCAGCACAGTCATAGATAAAATACTCCAGTTGACTAGAGTAGCCCCATGGCAAAATAGGTGGCAAATAAATTTGAACAAATAAATAAATAAGTAAAAATAGCAATTAATACCATTACAAACTAAAAACAATTGAAAAACCACAGAATAAAATGAACATTTTAACTAAAGGGATAATGACATATAATAAAATGATGATTTGTACACTAAAAGCACTGTCTTCTCTATACTTTCAATATTGGAAAAAAAATCTCCAGAAATATGTAGACACTTCTTAATCATTCTGTGACTTTGATAATACTCAATTATATGTGTGGAGACACTTTCATATTTCAAATATAACTTTTAACAACATGATCCTTGCATCAACCAAGCCTCTTCCAGAGCTTTTTCTTTTTCTTTTAAATTTTAATTATATTGTTTGATGAAGAGTTGAACACTTTCAGATATTGCTATCCAGTTTGACTTCAGTGAAAATTGTTTTTTTTTTAAAGAAAAAAAAATTCAACCAACAGAACCCTAATCACAGATTTTCTGTTGCAAGTTTGACAAAATTAAGACAGCAAAGCTTTTCCCCTCAAATTAACACTCTTTTATGGTCTATTTTCTCTCTCTTTTTCCTTTGATCTTAGACCACACCCAATGAATTCATCTCCAAAAAAGCACAGTATGTAATACTGGCAGGAAGAATGTTATAAGTCTGAAGTACACTACAATTTCCAAACACATTCTATGATATGTAAGAATTCTTCAGGAGGCATGTGTAGCCCAGAGATTCTACAAATTTTTTCAGCTTGTATGCTAAACTATACCTGATGTCACAGCAAGAAATTCTTTCCTAAAGGGGGCAAGCCTGTTTGCAAGGCTTAAGTTACCCACTCCCCTTTTAAATATTGTAATTATTATTATGGTTTGCTGCAGTCAGCCAGATGTTTAGACTGGATTTGGCATTTTTATCCACCAATTGAACCCTTCACAAGGAACAGGCAGATATTATTTGATGGTGTTAAAAGCATCATTGCAGTATATAAGCTGTTCCAAGTAAAGCTGCATTTTGCAGCTGACTGATGGTGATTGTGTCAATGCCAATAGTGTTCAAGTGGTATTTTTGCTTTCTTTTGCCACAATTGTTCTACTTCTATTTGCAGATGTTTGCATTTTGTGATTTTCTCCAATTCCTTCTCTTCTGTTCTGTTTTCTTCAGGTACTACCATCTCCCCTATCCACATTTCTGATTTTGCTTATCAACATTTGCAAAGTCTGAAGTGTTTCTGTGGCAGTTGTTTGTCCATTTGAATCCTAAAACCCAGAGCACCTTAGCTTCTTCATTTTCTATTAAGTTGTCTATGTGTTGTGGTCCCACCAGTTCTTGGTTGCAAGTAAGTGGTATTGTTTGCAGATTATTAAATCATGAAAACAAATATATGTAATGTTGCAGGATCCAATCTGGGGCAGCCACTGGAACCAGAGGCTTTTTCTGAACTTTCAGACTCGTGCTAGAGCCCATCCTCGGGGAACTTCTCTCTAAAAGATTTTTAAACGCACTGTTGTTGCTACTTTGTCATGTTTTTTGTAGTGAAGGTGTCTGTGTGAACATCTTGAGCAGCTAACTAGGCAGTCTCTTCTATCTTTGTATTTTTGGTCTCTTCTATCTTCTCAATTCTGACTTGGTATGTATTTTTTTTTAGGCTTGGTTTTGTTTAGCTCTCTGTCTCTATCTTCATTTTCCTGCTTTGAGACATTGCCACGTCTTCTTGCTATTTGCTTAGCCTGCTATTTTTAACATACTCGCCAATTCATACTTTGTCTTATCATTTCTCTTTTCTATTCATTCAGTTGTTCTTGTAGAGCAGTTTGGTCTTTCCAGTACTCAGTAAGCATTTATGATGTACTAACTTCAGTGCACTTCTTCACTGACCTTCAGATATTCTTTCAATGCCCTTTCTTCTTCAACTGTCCAGTGTGCTTGCAACATTCCACACCCACCTACCCTGTTTCTCCAACAATATGGCCTCCCCCAATAGGAAGTCCCAGCATGTTTTATAGGCATGAAATGAAATTAAGCCCCTCCCCCTAAATTAAGGCCTATATTAAAACATGCGAAATGGGGGGGGGGAGAATGGTGGGGGGGCTTGCTGTTAGGAAGTACTTTTGTTGCACACCTGGATATGGTGCTGCCTGCGTTGACCCTGATACAAAGTGCCCCACCAACGCCGAGGTCAACATCCAAGCCGTCACCGCTCGCCTGCCCGAAGATGCAAGGGGGGGAAATTAAGTCCCCCCGAAAAGACGGCCTAGCCATTTTTGGGGGGCTCAAAAATAAATAAATAAGACCCAACCTTATTATATGAGAAACACAGTATTTTCCTTGTGTCACCCAACATTGCTGTGCTAATGAAGATCCTGCTTCAATGTCATTATTTTTTTGGTTTTTGTATCCTGAGCTTTTCATTCTCTTTGGGTCAAGTTCAGTATTCTAGTTGTGTATCTAATGACTGGAACTGCCCAGGTGTTCATTATCTTGATGGTATTTCATTCACTGAGTTAGCTTTTTAAGATCTTCACTCTGAAACATATTCACTTCTAACCTTCTTAATTTTAGTATGCTTGATATGTCAGCTTATGAATGCCCCAGGTATTTGTAGTTATTTTCTTCATCCAACCCTTGATGTTGAAGGGCATCTTAATTCCTTCAATTTTCACTATTTTTCCCATATTAGAGGTGAGGATGGCACATTTGTCGAGTCCAAACTCCATTGCAATATTTTGGCTATACGGACAGTGTTGAGTAGTGATTCTGTTTCAGATGATATTTTCCATACAACTTCAGATCATCCATACAAAGGAGATGGGATACCACAATTGACAGATGTTTTTGATGTTTGAGAGCTACGTCCAGACTTGTTCAGTATTGTTGACAGAGGTATCAGTGCAATGAGAAACTGTAGTAGTGAGTCTTCTCTGCTGTTTGAGCAGTTTCCTTTTTGCTAGGTGAAAAGACCTTGTTTTTAACTAAATGATGTAGGACTGTATTAGGTACTATATCAATTACAAATTTGAAAGTTATTAGTGGGCAGGTAATTGGCCTTTAGTTATCTGGTACTGCCTCTTTTGTAGGATGTTTCATTATCTATTAGGTTTTGTTATTATGGAACGTTTGTAAAAAGTATCATGTGCCAGTAATGAAAAATTGATGGGAACAAAGAATTGAAAAAGCAAGTTAAAATATCGTGCAATTTTCAAATACAACTTGATAAAAGTCTTGGCTCATAACAGACCATATTTAACTGGATAATTAATGTGATAATTCTAGGAGAAAATATATAATACAAGAAATTGGGGGGGGGAGTCACAAAGTATGAAGATCTGAAAAACTAAAAAATGAATCATTATGGCATAAACCAGCAGTAGTGATCCGAGGGATTATGGGCAAATTGGGTGCATATTGACAAAATTTCCATCTATCGATTGCAAAAGGCCAAACTGCTTGGATCCATACTTAAACTACATTGATACATTACAACATCCTAGGATCTTAGGAAGAAATTGGTGTACTATATATGAAGACCCTTTAAGGAACTGACAGCTGTGATTTTACATTTTTTCTACAATAATAATAATAAGCCAACCTCTTTCAAACAGCTGTTAAGAGTGTGTATGTGTATGTGTGTAGGCTAAACTTTATGGAGGTGGGACATTATGAAAAATATTGTTACATGTTTGATGCAAAATATAATATAGTATTTTCAGTTCTGGACTGCGCCTGGAAGATCATGATTCAGTTCCCCACTTGACCTGGAACTGTCTAATTTTGGATTAATCATTTTATCTATGCCAAAACTCTCTCACAGGATTATTATTGTGAGGACAGACACTGTTTAAACTCCTCTGAGATTTTAATATGAATTCAAAAACCAAAAATCAGATTAGTAGAGCAAAAGAAATATCCTGATCTACTTACTGCAATCTATCTGTCTGTTCAGTTATAGGTGGCATATCCAAGATTTCAAAGAGTTTCAGGCAGTGCCAGACAGCACTAATTCTTGTTACTCTCATCATGGAAATTAAGCAGCAATAGTAGCTGCTCATCTGATAGCAATTAGAAAGTTCCTGACAGCTATTTTTATTTGGAGTATGACAAACAAAGGTAAGAAAATTAAATACACTTTGTCTCTTTTTAAGTATACCGTGGAATTCTAGCTCATTTCCCCCTTTAAAGCAAGAAGAAACAGAATAAGAAGCATAAACTATAATTTCAATATAATTCCAGCTAATTCCACAAAAGCTGAGAATCTCTTGGTAGAGCAACACTAAAATCCTGTATTTCTGATTTGATTTTATGGATCAGGTCTCCAGGGATTATGAAATAAAAGGGAGAAGCAGGAAGGAGAGAAGAGCAGTATAGAAGAAACAATAGCAAGATAATGGTTGATGGTTTCTTTGTAATTTGGACACACTGTCACTTCTTATTTATGTATCAACTGGCTCTGCACTATGAAGTCTGTGCTGGAATAGACTAAAGAAGGATTCTTTCTCTCCTGTTTATCACATAGAAATTATCAAAGGTCAGATAACACTTTCTTTCATAGTCTAACTCCAAATGTGTGTATGTATATGTGAATGTGTGTATGTGAAGGCACTTATTATTGTTTCAAACATTTTGGAAAACCAAAGTGTAACCTTACAGAGATATAATACATGAAGGATTGTGCGCAACATTTTACACAAAAAATTGGCACATTAACTACTTAATCTTTTGCACAATGCAGTCAGATTGTACATTTAACTTCATTGCTTTCCACATGACTTTTAGCAATTCCTGAACTAAAATGCCTCCAAGTTTCAATAGTAGAAAGCTGTTATTTTATAAGTGCTAAAAACATTATTAGCACAGGTTGTTGAAAACCACTTTACAAGTCTGCAGAAAGTCTACAATACTAATTACAGAAATTCCTTATAACTCCAGCATTGTAGTCACAATTTCCACATGTTTGGGTGTAAATTATTTTCAAAACTGACTTTTCAAATAAATTGATTCCTCATGGTTAAGAAATTGGGGGCGGGGGAGGGGGGGATGCTATTGAAAATCTTTCTATATCATGTAGAATCATTATGAGTTGATCAGCCTTCATGAATTTGGCAAATCGAACATCCAGTAAAGCATGCTTATGCATCTAAGTAAGCCAGGTTTGCAATAAAGCATTTACTTAGCTACCTATGGCAGGTAGACACAATGCCATTGCAGATCTAAAAGCCACTAGACTCCACTGTGCTTTTTCCACCTGGGAAACACTGACAAGTCATGACTGTTATCAAGGTATCTACATTTTTCCATAGTTTATATGAATTATTTCTTGTGTAGTATAGTTTAAGATGGATTTCCTTCTCTGAAGAAAAACATCCCAGGAAATAAGTAGAAACATATAGGATGGAGCACTGCTGAAGCAGTACTGTACCTATAAGAAACTCTGATTAACCCTGATTGGTTTGGATTCAATCAAGTTATTTTTTGAACAGTTTACTAAATGTTTCAAATTTAGGGATTTTCTTCTCAAAGTCAAGGATTTTCTTCCATCATAACCAAAAACTTGGTTATTAAAGAGTTAATATTTATAAATTAAATATGAGAGGCATGAAGGCATACAGAGGTGAATAGAACCAAAGTTGAATTCCAGAAAGGCATGAAAACAAGGTGAAAAGGATGAAATTAAGACAGTCTGCTGCCTTGAAGATTTCTAGAAGATACTAATTTTAAATGAAATAGGTGACCAGAAAACACAGAAGTAGACAGAGAGAGTCATTTAGTTGACATGGCTGGTATTGAAATTTAATTGATTAATAAATTCCCATCAAGCTCTCTTACTTTAAGCTACTATTATATTTACAGAATTTAGTGCACTAGTGGTTCAGAGTTAAGCTGGCATTTTAGTACAAAGGAAAGTTGAGCCAGAATGGACACAGTTGACATCATGAAATAAACAAGTTAGCAAAGAGCCAACGTAATCTACACAGTCTTTAGTCAGCAAAAGTAACAGTTATTCTAGGGAAGACAGGATGGAAATAATTGTTATTGCCATTTACTGTAGTTTGCACTTCTAGCTTTCAAAATTGGCAAAATAAATATACAGTCACTGGAGCTCTCTGTAAATTCTTCCATCCAGCAAATAAGCAGAACCCACAGAACAGCTCATATCCAATATCTGAAGATTTATTCCAAAGCAAAATTGTTTAATTTTACACTTCAGTGCTACAGTTCTTTCTCAGTTTTTGCCTAACATAAACATCTCACTCACAACAGTTTAGTTTAAAGCATCAATATATGTTGGGCAGAAGAGATTGAAGAATTATATACAGAGCATTCCTATATTTGAATTTTGTCCATTAGGAAGACAGGATTTCTGCAATCACTTGATACAAGAGGAGAATAATGAGGATAAACTGGAGGGAATGATCTACATTTAGCCAAAATCCTTAGTTTTCCAGGGCTAATACTAGCTCAAGAGTTGGTAAGAACCTGACTCAGAGATTTCAAAGGCATTAAAACAAAAACATCTTTCCTGAGTTTCAGAATATTTCAGAGCAGAATATCTGCTGAAATTTAAACTTCGACAGCAACTTGATGCTATTTTAAACTCTCAAAATGTACTGCTTGATACATCACTTAGGGATGTTGCACTAGGGAAGTTAACTGGTATTGTGGCACAGAGAAAAACCACCTCCTGCTAGAAAATTCTGCAACTTGTTGCTCCCACTAATAAAGCTGTACAGGGAGAGGTTCAAAGGAGTGCAATTGTCATCTATGGAAGTAGCGATAGTATTACTGCAAATAAGCTAAGACCATCCCCTCTCAATGCCTTTGTTAAAGTGTCATTATTGTTGGGATCAAGCTGCTTTGGCATTTTTAAGAATGAAAAATCTTTTTCATCTTTTTTACAGATCACATCAAATCAATAAAGCTGTGGGAAATGAGCAAGAGTTGGCAGCCCTATTGAGAGAAGGAGAGACTTAGTTTTTCTAAAGCATAACACTTTGGTTAAGCCTTGATACATGTTCTAAATTCAGCTCTACGATCTTTGTACTAGCATAACACTATGCCCACAAATGACTAGAATCAATAGCATAAGCTAACATCTCCTAACAGCTTTCAAAAAAAAGCATACCCTTTCTTGTCCCTACAAACAAACTACAGTACCTAAAAAAATGCCAGGTAACTCAATAGCTTATCACAGCACATCATCAGGTGCATCAAGTTCCAACACAAAGCCTCTCATATGAGCATGTTAAAGCCCAAGCAGAGATAAAAAGTAGAATCATTTCAGAATGGATCAGTTCCAAGGTCAATAACAAACCCAGTATCTCCTGCTGGATCATTCTGAAGCTCCAGTTAGTCTACAACCTGTTTCCCACAATAGTCAGTTGTTTCCAGCAAGCTAAAACAGGAACTGTGTTCTTCTACGGCATCTCTCAGTATTGATATCTAAGGCCATACTTCCTTGAAGTTTTGATATTTCATATGTCTTGATATTTCATTTGTTATGACCAGCTAATTACCATATGTGATTATCTAATGGCATCCCTCAGCTAATAGAAATTGTGATCCATTGGTGACTTACATCCATAATAATGGGAGAGGATTTCATTTTAAATGTATCTCTTCTTTGTAGGAATTGTGTACTAATTTTCCATATCTTTCTAAAGTGTATCTAGCCTTATAAGTCACAGGATCATAGTCCATCTGCTGAAGAATTATTGCATCTTCAAGTACTATTTTTTTTAAAAAAAAACTACCATCACCAATAGTGTTATAAAGGTAAATATAGAAAAGAATAGCTTTATATAACTTTTTTCTTTATTTCTTTATTATATTTTTACTTTTTTTCTTTTTCTTTGCAACTTTTACCCTTTCTATTCTCTTTAATTTGTATTAGATATTACTATTATAAATAAACACACACACACATACATACACACACTTAGACAACCATATGAAAGCCCACACTTTCTGGGAAACATTTTTTCCATCCATTCCAAATATATTTTCACTTACTTGAGTATAAGCAAAAGTTGTCAAGACCACCTTGATCATAAATTTTAAATTTTATTAGCTTGCACTATTGTTGGGATCAGAACCCCTCCCGAAATGTTGCACACTGTGGGATTTCAAAAAAGTACATACATACGACATGTGAGATATTTCGTAAAAGAAAATGGAATTTTGATGATGGCATATCAACCTGTGGCTTTTTTAGCAATTTTCAGATGATGGATTATAAATAAATTGAAGTTATATGTAACAGGCAATTGTTGATAATCTCAACATATTTGACAACAAATGCAGAAAAAGACAATAAATAAAGGAGAATATATACAGTTCATGGTTGAACTGTGAAGTTCTTGATGTCTTTTGAGTTTGGTTGTTTGCTAGCAGATGTTTCATTATCCAACAAACCAACATCCTGGTTAATGATACCTAGTTAAGCGATAAACTTTATTTAATAAATAAATTTATATAGCTTCCCAATTCACACATGATAACTTGCAAACAACCAAGCTCAGAGAAATGGAAATGTAGGTCATTTCTACTATTGAAATTCCCCGCCTACATTGGGATCATCACATGGCCACTTTGAGTTCATTTTGTAACACTGAAATCTGCCCATATTGAAGATAACTGTCCTCTGGTATTGCAGTAGGAAAAAAATCGCTGCGAATTATTTAATGTTCCTCATATAATACTATGCAATGATTTTATTTGTACATTGCCTTTATTTTACAAAAGAAGGCCATGATGGGATGCGGAGTAGGAAGATAAACTCCAAAGATGTTCATTTACATAGTTTTAGATTAGGTCAAAGGTTCATTTTCTCACCACCTCCTAGGGATACAAAGAAAACATATTTAATAAATAAATCACAAAAAAAGCTCCCAAGGAAATGAAAACCAGAATGCAGTCCTCTGATCAAGTTCTCAAAAATGAATCCTTGTTTGACATTTTCTCATTTGATCTTTTTTTTCCTTTTGACATTATAAAGAGTTAGCTTTGAGCAGCTGTTCTGCTCTGATCCAAAGAACACAATAGTAAGAATCCAATCATGGGTCTATTTTACCCAGGGAAATATTTTGATTTGGTAGAAGTAGACTCTGTGCTCTCTTATTCTCTCTTTAATTATATCCATGCAGGAAGAAGAGTCATTAGAAAACCTGTCATCAGAAAGTGCAAATCCAAACACAGCTTGGCCTGGACAGTCTTTGGAATTTGCTGGAATGTTCTAGTACTTTTATTTATGAGCCAAATGTTTAAGCAACGTTGTAGTTGTGTAACCGACTGGAAAACATGGAAAACCATTTGTAATTTCCTATGGGATGCTATATCCAAGTTCTTCAAATTACAGGATGAACCTACATTTTTATTTTTAAAAAGGGCAGAATGTTTTTGTTTCAAAGGTTTCACTGAAACATCACATTATAAGTTTGTCACGTCTTGGTAATAATCTTGAAACCTGTTAAATCCCTTTGCCTATTTCTATCACTTTCCACAGAATACTTAGTAAGAGTAAAGAATGTTTAACAAAGATGTTCAGTGTTGTAAGTTGAGCCCTCTCAGAAAACACCAAAAACATACTAAAAGAAAACAACTCAAAAGGTTTAAAAAAAAAACCCTGAAGACTATGCCAATGAACAACAGAGAAAAAGAATATGCCAATAAACAACAGAGAAACTATCCAAACTTGCAGTTTGCAAAGGAAGCTCCAATGGAAAACAAAATCCTGGAAAGGAAAATGTTGCTATGCAGTGGAGTTAGACAAAGGCAAACCAGATAAACTTTTTTTCCCATTATTTGTTTAGTAGACAGTAAAGTTAAGGGCATTGGAGTACATCAGTATTTGTCATAAAGTAATTAGGCCATTTTTGTATCTAACTATGGACACATGACAACAGAACTTTTCTTGTCAGTTCGAAACATTTTGCTGTTTATCCAAGTAGCTTCTTCAATCTGAAGAAAATGTTGACACATTTGTCAACATACATACATACTCTCACACTCTAATGTAAAACACTGCCTTTCCTTAATATAAAAATTGGTATATAGCTTTTCTCTTCCTTACCTACCCAGGCCCACCTAAATTATTACCAGTACAATTATCATTCAAATACATAAACAATGCACACTAGTAGGAAACACTTTCTTAGTTTTACTACCTGTTTTCAAAAGAGCTAGCAATACCTCTTACCTTACAGCAAAGCTATTCCTTTAAAAAAAAAAAAACACTTTTTCATTTTAAACTGGGACTGGAGTCACTATCAACAGGAAGGGAAAATATCGCACATTGAAACATTGGCATATGTTAAATCCTTTGTAGCTATGACAACTCAAATGTACTGATCTAAAGCAGATCACTTATTTTCTGAACTAAATTACTAATCAATACTTGATGGCATTTATTTCTTTTCCTATAGGCCTGATGGAATCAGTTCTGAATTTTTTGAATTCATAAATTACATGTTTATACTATTCTATCTCTTGCAACTCAAGGCAGTTTACAATTCTATCCTTTGATCTCCTATGACAGTATGCTGTGTAGTGATAACAAAATGTAATTTATTAATATCTATTAGGAATAAATAATCTGATCTGAAAAATACCGTTAGCTTATTCGATAGAGCATGGCACTCAATCACAAGGTTGTGGATTCAAATCCCATGTTGGGTGGCTGTAGTTTTTTACCCAGCTTGGTGCAGTGGTTAAGGTCCAGGTAGAACCCAGGCAATCATAAATTCTAGTCTTCCCTCTGTATCAACCCAACTTATCCCACAGGAATGTTGTTGTGGGGAAAACAGGGGGGTAGGAGCATTGTACTTGCTACCTTAAATTATAAAAAATAGGGTTGGCATATAAATATAATAATAAACAATAGCATTTCAGATAAATTTTGAACATTAAAATGCTGCTAGCAGTTAAGGGAATATCTATTTATAAACTCAAATCACTCCTAATAATATTTTACTTTTAGAAAAAAAAAAATTTTTTATCAGTGTATACTTGCTTTGGCAGAGCACAAGTTTGGAATTTAGTGTGCAGCATATCTGAAACTTTTTGGGCAGACTTCCATAAGAAATTTTGTCATGGCTCAACTATAGGACCTCAACTGTGGATCAATACTCAGAACTACAATATCAGAGTGTTTCATGTAATAGTCTGTTGTCGCCATCTTTATTATGCAGCAGTATATAACTAGATAAATAAATATCAAGTACAAAAAGACTTTGTGCCATGTTTTCTTTTTGCATTTGGAGAAAGTGGAAAAGTAAAATAAAAAGACTAAAAAGGTGGACATTTACATCATAAAAAAATAAATATTTCTTAAGTCTTAAATGTATTTTTTCTTTTGAACAGATACTGCTCTATTAAACAGCTCCATATTTTTTTTTACCTTTTCGTCTAATTCCTGTTTTAGTAAGTTGTATTTTCGCTTAATTTTTGCATTTTCTTCTTCCTTGTGGGTTAGCTCCGCTGTCAACTTATCACATTCGATTTTCATTTTTTCTACCTGGCGACGATGAGCTTTTACAAAATTTCTTTCTTCTGCAAGTTCTGACTAATGGAAGGAAGCCAGACAAGAAACGAAGGGTTCAGTATTTCATATTAATGGCACAGAAATTTAGAGGAAAATACTGGTTTAAACATTTCTTTTGTAGTCATTAGATGTTTCTTAATACGCAATAGATTCCCAGTTTTATTAAGGGAGGAAACAAGTTTATCCAGACAAGTAAGAGGGAAACTACAACTGTGGTAAAGAGAAAATATAGCATAAAAAGAAAAGCAAGTCTGAAATCAAACTGTAGCTCATTTTTTTCAAACTAAATCCCCATCTGGTTTATTTATTGTCAATACAATATTTACATAGTGAAAAAAATGTATTTTAATTCCATTCATTCCAATTTATCAAACATAAAGTACTAACATCAAGCATCAATCAAGAAATAACTGTTTATTTGAGATTTTATGTAATAATGCACAGCTTATACTGTTAGTACTAATCTGACCAGATGCTTTTCCCCAACATTTCCCATAAATGAATCAGACCAGAACAGGCAATGATGGGTCATGAAAGACAGCTTGGAATCACAACAGACAGCACAATGAAAATTCAATGTGAAAAGGGCAAATTCTGTGCTTTGGATCATTAGGAGAATTCAAATAGAACTATCAATATAACTACCTACATCTTTTAGTGTAGTAAAGCCCATGGAGAGATTATTAGAGTATTGATGACATATCTGAAGCAACTCCTCTATTGCAGAAATTTTATTACTTGAAATAAAGGAATGAAAAGGGACACTTAATAGCAATAGCACTTAAACTTAAAAACTGCTTCATAAGCTTTATTGCTTTACAGCCCTCTCAAAACGTTTTACAGAGTGAGCCTATTGCCCCTGACAATCTGGGTCCCCATTTTACCGACCTTGAAAGGATGGAAGGATGAGTCAACCTTGAGCCTGTCAGGATTGACTCCTGGAGGTGGGCAGAGTCAGCCTGCAATACTGCATTTTAACCACTGTATTACCATAGCTCCATAACAGAGTGACAATTTATGGTGCAGCTAACATGGAAAGGTTTTTTTTTTCTCCCTTTATCACAAATGTTACAACCTGAAGGTACACTTCTGTATATAACTAAAACTCTTGTTGTCATGATTTTTAACTGGGTAAAACAGTGCATCATGGGGAAATAATTTTTGAGCTAGGGTACCTCAAATGGGCTAACTTACAGAAAGTGTTCAAAATATACAACTCATGGCTCCATAGGATATGAAATTTGGGGAAGTTGTTACTACTTCAATGCTACTACTGCTCTGCTACTGGTGCTACAATCACATGATCTTCATTTTGAACATTTCATGACCATTTCCTAGCCAGTCTTACAATCCCTTGCTCCCTTCCTCACCCAGCAAGCAGCTACTTATCTGCCTAGTAGGAAGGCCAGGGAGAAGGAACAAGATGGAAGGAACACCTATGCCCTCTTTGCTACTCAAGCATGGGGTTCCTGCTTTATCCCATCCCTTCAAGTGTCTTCCCTGACCTATGTAGCATCTCCTGCACACCTTCATGAATCCTCCCCCCTCCCAAACCTAACCTGCATGGTACCTCTTGTGTACTGTCAAGCAACCCCAGGCACCCTTTTCAACATATGAACACACACACACACACACACACACACACACACACACTATCCCCAACTGGCAGTGACTCTCAGACAACACATGTATTATTCTTGTCTCGCATCCCCCACATCCTTACTTGACCCTTACAGCATCTTATATAGTCCTATGAACCCTCACTCATCCTTTTTGATTCATACCACCCACACGCATACTCTCCTCAAACCACGTGGAACCTCTTGAACAACACCTATACCATTTCTGATCTACACCTCTGCGCATCTTTTTTCCTCCCCCATCCAGCAGTTTTCTACTGGATTCCCCACTGACTTTCTCCCTGGAAGCTTTCCAGAAGCAAAGTAAATGGGGAAGCCAGCAGGAGTTTGAGGGAGGGAGATGATGACAGAATGACAGGGAGAAAGAAAAGGAAGGAAGGGGAGGGAGGAAAATTTCTTACACTTCCTGCTAGCTTCCCACAAGGAAACTCATGAGGAAGTCAGCAGGAAGTCAGAAGTTGTTTCCGTTCCTACTGCTTCTTTTAACCCACCCATAGTCATTCTGCTTCTCTGTTCAGGTAAGGACAGATGTGAAATGACAGCCCAATGGGGCATTGATTGTCTAGTTTGAACTAAATGTAAGGATGTTCAGAACTGAACAGAGAGCTTTTTTTCAAACAGTACATAGTTAAATTAGAATTTGCTACTAGCAACTATAACAATGGTAGCCAATTTGGATATTTTTTAAACGGTATGGAAAGATTCATGGAGGAGTAATATACTGTGGCGACTAACATTGATGGTTTTTTATTATCTTCTTGCCTTAAATGCTGATTACTCAAAAGTGATTACGGAAAGAGGTCCAAATCTATATGTTTCCTAATGTATTCAATTGGTTACTGTGTAATACAGAATATTGAATTAATTGGGCCTGTGGCCTGATCCCACAACTCTTCTCTGTTCCCAATACTGCACCTTCCTTGTCTATAATTTTCAGATTATGATAACCATTCATCCAGTATTGCCTATACAGCTCTTTCTTTAAAGCAAAAAAATAAGTTAGACAATATTAAAAACACATAATTTTGGTAGAGTCAGAGTAAAATAATAGCCACATCAAATATTACTCAAAGTATCATACAATTTAGGCAACAATTCACCAGAACTTGGCTTGATTAAATCCCATCTATGCCGTACTATGCAATAATAATGACTATATGTTGACCATCTGAGAGATACCTTCAACATTCCAATGTGATTAGCTGCCTCCTCTTTTTCTTGGTTGAATAGCTTCAACATCTCTTGGACACGATTATCATATTTGGTTTTCCTTTGCTGCAATTCTGACTGAAGTTCTTCCAGCTCCTGCTTGTGGACATCTCTTTCCAGTTTCAATTGCTTATTGATTGTAGTCATCTCCTCCTGAACAGACTCTATTTGTTTCTGAAGTTCCAGCG